CAACTCCCACCATGGCTGGCTGGGGAATTCTGGGAGTTGAAGTCCACTCATCTTAAAGTGGCCAAGTTTGGACAACACTGGTTTAGGGGATTAAGCCTGTGGAAGCTCTGGTGAAGTTAAGGCACCCCTAAACCATGTTCTATCCCATAATCCAGGTTCCAACATAGCAAGCTGTGCAAAGGCAGTTTGTATGGAGGCTACTGAGAGATGTGTCAGGAAATTTGGCCTTACCATAAAGGTTGTCACATCCCCGTCCTTGGTGGATCTTTTCCATTCTTCTACTTTAAAATGTTTGAAGATGTTCAGGTAAGGATGTTGCCACACTGGGGGGGTGGGATAAAAGAGCAGTTAGCCCCCAACTGCAATAATGTAGGCCTTCTGTCCACCCATATCCCCTCTCATTAGGTCTACTGTTGCAGTTCCATCAATGCCAGGTTCTCTTGTCTCATCCATGTGTGGTTTGTTCCAGTAGCCCACTTATCGTCAGATTGTCCTGGTTCCCCAACATCCGACGTGGACCTTGTTAATCCGGGCAACGTCCGAGCCGACCCGTGATGGGCTCCGCGACTGAGTGGAGCCCAGGCATCTCCAAGCCTGGGGCAGCTTCGATTCTGCTCGTGAGAAGGGGCAACCCGGAGCTTGCCAGGTTCACGCGCTCTGCCCAGTAGCGTCACCAGCAGGGCCGGTGTCAGGTGTTCTGGATGGGGTATTTATCCAGTTATAGTTATGGATTTGACTTCTTTGTTTTTTAATTTGGCAAGTACTCCAGGAGGGTAACCAAGTTTAAAACAATTCACATTAAAACTTAGTTCGTGTCACTCTCATATCTGAGGTAGGCGGGTGAAGTGTTAGGGGGCCTTTGCCCGAGGACCCCTATGGGTAAGGCAGGTGCCAGCCAGGATTTGAACCCCGGTCTCCCGCGTCAGAGGGCGGCGCTCTAACCACTACGCTATCCAGCCACTTATCTATCGATCTGTTGATCCATCTGTCTGTCTGCCTTTGGATTTTGCAGCCTATCCATCTCAACAAATGGACAGAGACAGAGGAAGGCTGCATCTAGAGAATTTCTGCCTGTCACTCACCTGCCTTCCTTTCCTTCCCAGACATGCAGGACTCCTGAGCACCAGTACAGCAGGCAGTGATCTAACCAGTGAAGCCCATGCCCACGCTGAAGCAAGAAGACTCGACCTGATGGACTTCTGCCGGTCACTGACCCACCGAAGCTGGGTTCCTGGGCTATCTATCTATCTATCTATCTATCATTTATTTTTCAAATTTGTATGCCGCCCATCTCCCCCAATGGGCGAGTAATTACCCACTCTATGGCAGGAGAGGATCCAACCCGTGAATCTTTGACCCACAGGAATGGAAGTGAGCTACACCTGACGGACTTCTGCCTGTCACCTTTTGTTTTAATGCAAAAGAAGAAAAAATCTTTTCTGGGAAGAAACTACTGCAAATACTATAGAAGGCGCCCTCCTTGCTCCCAAGGCCCCGGACCCCCGGCTCACCTTTGGCCATGGCTGCCCGGCTCGGCTCGGCTCGGCTCGGCTTC